AACCCACGTGCTGTCACTTATGGGATAGATCACGTCAGCCTCTAAAAGCTTAAGGATCTCTTTCTTAACAACCTCTTTCAAATTAGGATTCAAACGCCTTTGATGTTCTATAGAAGAGGCGTTCTCATTATCCAAGTGAATCCTGTGAGTGCAAAGCATTGGTGAAAGGCCCTTGATGTCACTTAAAGAGTACCCAATGGCCTTCCTATACTTTCTCAGCTCAGTCAGGAGCGAGTGCACTCATCATCACTTAAGTTTTCATTCACAATCACGGGATAGGTGTTATTAGGCCCTAAGAAAGCATACCTTAGCCCTTTTGGGAGCTCCTTAAGGTCCACCTTTGGGGCTAACAGCTCACTCCAGTCATCCTCGTGGCTGTTGTTATTGCTTTCCTCCTTGGAACCCTCCTTAGAACCCGAGGTATGGCCCTTAAGACTGCTTTTCTCAACAGCTATCCCTTCTGAAATCGAGTCCTCCAGTCGATCTTCCTCTCAATGTCATCTAGATCGAGCCATTTCGCTCGATTCACTTACTCGATTTGATGTGGATCGAGATGCTGAGTCGATCTCCTGATTGGACCCCAAAATGATCGGGAGGTCTCTCTCGATCGTTGACTTGATTGTTTTTCCTGATCGATCATTCCTCTCGATCTGTCTGTCGATTGCTGCACCGGATCGAGTTGTGTTCTCGATTGCCTTGTCGATCTGACTCCTGGATCGAGTGATAGCGTCGATCTCGGGGTCAATCTCTAGGCAGCAGCTTTCATCCTTCTTAACAATCTTCCTAGAATCCAGCAAGTTGACGTACTCCTGGGTCCTCTGATCCACATAGCCAAACTCTCCTGGCTCCTTAGTCAGTGCTAGCTTCAGATGGTCTTCTAGAGCCAGCTCTTCCAGCAACTCATCCACTAAGGCATCCATCATCGTTTCAATGTAGAAAGCTTGCCCTTCTATGGTCGGCTTCTTTAGAACCTCATTGATATCGAAGTCCAGCCTTATCTCCTTTCCCAAGTGCAAGGCAATCTTCCCGTTCTTGACATCTATGATAGCCCCGGCGGTTGCAAGGAATGGTCTCCCTAAGATGAGTGGATCTTTAGGCTCTTCATCCATCTCCAACACGACGAAGTCCATAGGCACGTTCACACCACTGATTCGCACCGGTAGATCTTCAAGCAGCCCCACTGGTAGCCTCACACTCCTATCAGCCAGTACCAACGAGATCCTACAGTCTTTGAAATGAGTAAAGCCAAGCTTCTTAGCCACAGAGTGAGGCATCAGGTTTATGCTAGCTCCGAGATCACATAAGCAACTCTTGAACTCTAGAGGACCTAAAGCGCAGGGTATAGTGAAGCTTCCAGGGTCTCTCAACTTCTTAGGGACTATCTCCTTATGTATCACAGCACTACACTCTTCACTTAGAACAAGCACCTCTTTGCTTTCCTTATTCTTCTTCACTAGAGTGTCTTTGAAGAATTTGGCGCATTTAGGCATCATTGCAAGGCAGTCAACAAGAGGAAGCTTGATCTCCACGTCCCTAAGATGCTTCTCAAAGAGGATTCTATGCTTCTCTATGAGTTGCTTCTTGAAACGGCCAGGAAAAGGCAGCTTAGGTACATACGGTGGAGGCACATAAGCATTCTTCTCCTTAGTAGTTTGCTCAGCTTTCTTCTCAACAACTGCTTTGTCTCCTCTTCTTGGCCCTTGGATCCAGACGTTTTCAAAGTTAATCTCTTCATCAGCTGAAGGCTTACCCTCCCCCTCTTGAATTACAACGTCCTCATTGTTCTGAGTAGAGACCAGAGGTTCTAGCTCTTTGCCGCTTCTCAACGTTATGGCGTTAGCATACTCCTTAGGATTCTGCTCACACTTGCCCGGAAGGCTATTCTGACCACTTGTACTCGCTTTCCCTTTCTCTAGCTGCTTGATCTTGTTGTTTAAGTAGGTGATCTGAGTGGAGAAGTCAGTGAGAGACGAGTCTAGACGAGTGTTCATCTCGGCGAACTTCTGGTTTGTAGAGGCTTGCCCTTGTAGCAGCTGTTGAAACATTGCTTGAACCGGATCAACTTGTTGTTGCATCGGCTGTTGCTGCTGAGGTGCAAAACTCGGAGGGTAGTTAGGCGTATAACCCTTGTTACTTTGATGTTGCCCTTGGAAGTTGTTCTGCCCTTGATCTTGGAAACCACCACTCGGCTGAAAGCCTTTGTTGTAAGGGATGAAAAGTTTTGCTTGCTGAGCAGGGTACACTTGATCCTTAGGGTTGGCAATGTTGGTGCTTCGGTAGGAGAGGTTGTTGTTCTGGTTGTAGCCTTGGTTGTAGCCTTGAGGTTTGTAGTTGTTCTGTCCCGCCACCCAATTGGCTTCTTCTTGGCTCAACTCTAGCTCCTCTTGATTCTCATCAGCTTCACCAACAAAGTGAACATGCTTCTGATTGGCCAACACCAGCTTATCTATCTTCTCATGCAAAGATTTCAGCTCCTTTTTGTGAGACTCTAGCTCTGATCCTCTCGGTGCACGGTCATAGTCCTCAGCGTAGTTGCCATCACTCAATGCCAAGTTTTCTATCAGCTCCATACCCTCTTCTACCTCCTGACCAAGGAAGTTCCCTTTGCTAGCTGTGTCAAGCAACAACCTGATCTTTGGTGAAGCTCCACGGTATATGGTACTGAGTAGTGTCTCCTCGCTGAAACCGTGATGAGGACATTGGATCGTGTAGTCTTTGAAACGCTCCATTGCCTTGTTGAATGTCTCATTGTTTCATTGAGTGAAGCCGCTGATTTTGCTTCTCAATCGTGCTGTCCTGGTGCTAGAGAAGAACTTCGAGAGAAAGGCCTTCTTACACTCGGCCCATGAGGTGATGGTGCCTTGTGGGAGGGTCTTCTCCCAATGCCTAGCCTTGTCTCCGAGTGAAAAGGGAAAGAGACGCAGCTTGAAAGCATCTTCGGATATGCTATTGATCTTGATCATCCCACATACTTGCTCGAAGTTTTCAAGGTGCTCCAAGGGATCTTCCATTGCTAAGTCGTGGAACTTGTTGTTTTGCACCATGGAGATGAAACCTGGCTTGATCTCGAAGTTGTTGTTCTGTACAGGAGGAGGAGTGATCCCAAACCTATTGTGATGAGTATTGGGAGCATCTCCGGCTCCTATGATCCTTGGGGGTCTAGCCGCGTGTTGGGGGTTTCCATTGCCCCTTCCTACTGCCCCGTGAGCTGGAGGAGGTCCCTCTGGATGCTCATGTTCAGCCATAGCTTCAAAGTCAACCAAACCGTGCTGAACAATCTCCTCAAAAGCTCTGGCTTGTTCTCTGACTCTTCTTTGCCGTGAATGACCAAGCTGATGAATATTGTCCAAAGGTGGAAGTAGATTGTTATCTCCCCGTGAACGAAGATTCATATACTTGAGAACACACGTTTGAGAGTAGAATGATTAGTAACTTGAAAAAGGTAAAGACTTAGTCTTTGCTAAGTCCCAAATCTGTATGTTCTCTAAACAATCCTAGGATGGCAACGGCGCCATTTGATAGACAATTTATTTGCAAGGGTGAGAATGCAATGAGGTTATCAAACTCAAATGCAAGACAGGTTGTAGTACAGAATGCAAGAGAGAGTCAATCCATACCTAGGATGATAGAAAATGCAAAGAGAATACAAGGACTAATGCAAATCTAAGCGAAACAAGATAAGTTATGAGAAAATCCCTAAAAAACTAGATGCAGCAACTAGATGGAATGCAACCTATTTTTAAAATTACTAGGAATGATCAAACTACCATGAGGAACAAACAGAATAATTAAAGGACAAAGCTTCGAATTACTAAAATTCGACTAGTGGATCGACCATGAGATCGACCACTAGATCGAGCAATAACGATCGATCTCGTCTAAAAGTGCAAGAACAGTAAAACTAACGACCAGGATGCTATCAAAGATCAAGCGAATGACGAGAGAAGATGTAAAGATGCTAAAATAGAGGGCCTAGGGTTGAGATTCATGGTCAGGGGTTTCAAAGGTTCGATCTTGGGTTGAAAACTTTAGATCGACTCACTTTGTGAGGATCTCTAAGCCTTGAAAACTAAGCAAGATCTATCTGTGGCTTTCGGTATAGATCACTCCTTCATCCTCTCCTCCAAACCCATGGCTTTTGGTGGAAAGAGAGGTCAAAGGGCATGGAAAACAGATTTCAAATGAGTGGCTTAACTAGTCCCCCAAACTTCCATGGCTTTTGGGAAGGGGTAACAAGTCTCTAGGGTGTGATCTTCCGAGGTCCCTGAATCCTGTCAAGGTAAGGAACCTCTCGGATCATGAAGCTCTTGGCGTGAGAGTCTTCAAGCATTGAGAGCTCAACACCCTAGAAGAGATAGCCATTAAAAACACTTAGAAAACCCCAAGATCGAAACCCTTTAGACCCTTTAATCCTCTCAACCCCGAACCCAAATAAACTACTCACTACACATAAGGTAAATCAAGCAAAGCATGGAAAAGGAAACGATGAACATGAAAAGAAAACTAGATTAAAATGAAAACGATTCGATTACAAAGCTTAAGAAAACTCAAAGTTCGACAATGGTGTTCTTCCTCCAAAACCAGAGAGAAAAACATACAAAAAAGATAAGGAAAGTAGTTGTGTGGGAAAAGGACGTCGCCGCCTTCCCAAAATGGCCAAAACAAGCTGATGGTCTCCCCCTCGCTAGCGGCCAAAAGTGGTTGAAAGGACAGAGATCGACTCCGGGATCAAGCGGTTCTCTCGATCATCTCTGACCATCGTGTCTTCCGCTCGATCTGGGTCTCGATCATCTTCCTTGGATCGAGTGTTGCATCCGATCTCAGTATCGATCTTCGGTCAGATCGAGTGGTTCTCTCAATCTGGCTCTCGCTCTGCATGGCGACATTTTGAGCTAAGCTAACATTGTTGTTAAATTTCACACACACAAAAAAAAAGCCATACATTGTTGACTAATTGCACTTACAAAAGCTAAAACATATTACTCGGATACAGAGATTCATTAGGTCTCTTGCTTCACCTTACAACAGAACTTGAGAAAACAACTTGTGTCTCCTTCCCAAATCAGCTTGAACATGACCGATTCACCTACCTTCACACACTTAGCTTTGAAGAACTCTTTCCAACCTCCGACCAGTCTTATTCTATCACCACTTTTCTCATACCGCAAATCCGTAGACCACTTCACACCGTTTTTATTTAACAAAGTCATTTTAGTTTCCTCATTGATTCCATGCATCCTCGTGAAGCGTATTGGAAGAAACTGCAACAAAGATTGAAAAAAAAAAGATTCAAGAACTCGATAGAATGTAAAAAGACAAATGGGTGTAGTGATGAATCTAACCAGTACAGACTTCATGAGGTTGAAAGGTTTAAGAGTTAATGTCACAAATCGGTTTTGGGATGATGATGAAGACGAAGCTTTCCACATCGATATTCTACGTTTCTTGACATTTTTCTCATCTTGAATGCTCGTTTCTTTGCTGTCGGATTCTGTGGGAAGAGACTCTATTTCATCAGCTCCTAAGCACTCTTCTTCTTAGGACTCTGTGGAAGACAAACGTAGAACCAGAGTTGCTCCTCTTTTGATCAGTTTGAAAGTGTAGAAACCTCCAGCTTCAAGCCCATTGGCATGACAGAAACTTCTCCACCCTCTCATATACATAGTTCCACAAGATTTCCTCAAAGATAAAGTCCATGATTTACCTTTTCTATTCATCAGAACGATCTCTCTACATCTTGCGTCTACACCATTTTCCCTCACAAAACTTCTTGGAAGATCCTGAAAAATTCATTACAATACAACATCATTTTTATACACTTCAGACCAGTTTGTTCAGTATGAAAGGTTTTTCTTTTGTTCAAATCTTGAGTTAGAATACCAGTTTGTCATAACGTAGTGTCGCAGGCGAGACTTTAGCCACAAAACAAGAGGGATCTAGTGAAGAAGACACTATTTCTCTTTCTTGATTCTTCTTCACTTTCTTCTTTCTCTGAATCTCCTCTAAAAAATAAAAGAAAATAAATTCAAGTGGTAATAGTCAAACTGATTCTCTCTACTTACTGATCCATACTTTATAATCAGCTTAAATTGCAATTTGAACATAATTACTTGAGCACATTTCTTGAATGTCTGAGAGTTAGAGCATATTAATTATGTTCCAACTTGGTTGTTATTTTAAATCTTTTTAGCTTTTAATTTATCATTTTTGTTTGGGAAAGAAGGAGAAGAAGAACAAATAAGAAGGAAAAGAAGAAGGAGGAGAATAAGGAGAAAGGATGGATGAGAAGAAGAGTGGATGAAAAAGAATAACAACAGAGAAGAAGAAGGAGAAACAAAAAAAGAGAAGAACAGAAGAAGAAGGAGAAGAAGGAAAAGAAGGGATAATAAGAAGGGATGAAAAAGAAGAAAAACAAAGGAGAAGAAGGACAAGTGATGAAGAAGAAGACTAATAGAGAAGATGAAAAAAAAAACGGAAAAGGAGAATGGAGAAGAAAGAGAATGGATGATGAAGAAGAAGACATGAAGTAAGAAGAAAAGAAGAAGGAGGAGGATAATAAGGAGAAGAAGGGATGAAGGAGAATATGGATACATAGAAGAAGAAGAAGAAGAAGAAGAAGAAGGGAGAGGAAGAATATCGAAGGAGAAGGAGAAGAAAGAGAAGAAGGGATGAAAAAGAAGAAGAAGAAGGGATGGAGGAGAAGACGAAGGAGTAACCAAAAGTTGTTAGCTCAACTGGTAAAGGATCTATGCAAAGCTTAAAGATCACATGATCGAGTGACACTTAAAATGAAACTAATATTACATGATGTGGTTTCGGGCCTGCAGAGATTGCAGGCTTCAGCCCAGAACCTCATGGTAATCCAAAAAAGAAAGAAGGAGAAAAACAGAGAAAAAGAAAAATGAAGGATAAAAATGAGAAGAACAAAAATAAATGAAGGGAGAGAAACAGAAAAGATGAAGAAGAAGGAATTAAGAGGAAGAAGTAGGAGAAACAAAAGGAGAACAGGAAATTGTTAGGGTCGGTTTCCAATATGACGAGATTAACAAAGAAAATGCTAAGTTTGGAAATGAACCTAGCCAAACTGAAGAGGTGATCAGCCAGACTGACAAGCCGAGCTGGCAAACCACCAAGCCGAACTGGCAAACCGCTGAGCAGAAACAACGAGTCGGGTCAATAAAGACGGATCAAACCATTCATGTCCACCGAACCAACATGATAGACCAAACCGATGAGTCGAGGTCAGAAAAGATGTACCGAACCATTTAGTTATCAAATGAGAGAGATGTGTCGAACCGGGTTGACAGAACAAATCGGCCGGTAGAGGCGGACCAACAAAATTAACCAAGTGGGTACCAAGCCATTTCTCTGATGGGCCTAGGCGATAATGAAAGAGGCTCAGTATGAAGCAATAAATATACAAGCTGAGTCATAAGCCCAAGAAGACATCTAAAAGCGGGATTTTCCCTAGAAGGACTTAGCCTTGAGGAAGTGGCTCTGTAAAGAGAAATAGAAGGAAATCTATGACTATATTCACTGAGATTTTCGCTTAGGTTGTAGAGAGATATGTATAAATAGGAGACATGATCTATTGTAAAATAGACGGATGAAAAGCCTAAAAAAACAGTTGATCAAAAGCTTAACAAAATAGCAATAACAAAAACACCATCTTTGGATCTGTGTTCTCGGCTTTATCTTATAATCTTCAAGTTCCTCTTTTATTTTTTTAAACTAAACTCTATTGTGTGAATTACGCCTCACACAAGGATGAAAGAGAAGAAGAAGTGATGAAGAAGAAGAAAGAAAAAAAGTTGAAGAAAAAGAAGAAGTTGAAGAAAGAGAAGAAGAACAACAACAATGAATGATAAAAAATGAGAAGAAGAAAAAATATGAAAAAGAAGAAGTAAAAAAAGGAGACGAATGATGAAAAGAAAGAGAATAACTTATGCATTTACTAAATAAAAGATTTATTGAAAAAAATCATAAATTAGTAGATAAATTATATTCTTACTAAAAACTAAATATGCTTTTATCATATGAGATAAATATTTCAAAATAAAAACAATAGTATGGTTAGAAAATTACAACTAAATATTCAAACGTGTAAAAAATCTACTACAAAATAAGAACACAAATTATATATAAATCAGTAATATATTATATCTTTAATATAAACTCTTGTGTTTATAAAATTATTTTCAATTCTCAAAAGTTCAAAACACATATAATAAATCTATAACTCATATAATCATCAACTAAATACATTTTAAATCTCATTTTTTATATCATATTTTGCAGATTACATAATTTACTTTTCAAAAATCATATACCTATGCATGCACTCATGTTTAAAATCTAGATGATTATCTGAACAATAAAGTGATAAACCCCCAATAAACTGTATAATATGAACAATAAACCTCTTGTACTATATTATTTGAACATTTATATAATTTAGTTAATGAATAATATATCCCTCACAAAATCATAAAATCATTTATGAACTTTTATTTTATAACTCGATATTTACTACACAATAAGTCAATCAGGTTTTTTTTATATATTTTGGATATATAATAACCTCCTTATATTTATAATATGTATATTTATATATTTCAATTCAAAAATTATATACTCGGCGAGCGGATCCAAAATCCTGTTAATTATTAAATTATAAGGTATCATTAATCAAATCAAACAACATCAGAATCCTAATGATACCATATTAGTATTACCATTACAACATACTTAACATAACAAACTACAGTAGTCAACTGGACATTTTGAGTTAAGCTAACATCGTTGTTAAATTTCACACACACAAAAAAAAAGCCATACATTGTTGACTAATTGCACTTACAAAAGCTAAAACATATTACTCGGATACAGAGATTCATTAGGTCTCTTGCTTCACCTTACAACAGAACTTGAGAAAACAACTTGTGTCTCCTTCCCAAATCAGCTTGAACATGACCGATTCACCTACCTTCACACACTTAGCTTTGAAGAACTCTTTCCAACCTCCGACCAGTCTTATTCTATCACCACTTTTCTCATACCGCAAATCCGTAGACCACTTCACACCGTTTTTATTTAACAAAGTCATTTTAGTTTCCTCATTGATTCCATGCATCCTCGTGAAGCGTATTGGAAGAAACTGCAACAAAGATTGAAAAAAAAAGATTCAAGAACTCGATAGAATGTAAAAAGACAAATGGGTGTAGTGATGAATCTAACCAGTACAGACTTTATGAGGTTGAAAGGTTTAAGAGTTAATGTCACAAATCGGTTTTGGGATGGTGATGAAGACGAAGCTTTCCACATCGATATTCTACGTTTCTTGACATTTTTCTCATCTTGAATGCTCGTTTCTTTGCTGTCGGATTCTGTGGGAAGAGACTCTATTTCATCAGCTCCTAAGCACTCTTCTTCTTCGGACTCTGTGGAAGACAAACGTAGAACCAGAGTTGCTCCTCTTTTGATCAGTTTGAAAGTGTAGAAACCTCCAGCTTCAAGCCCATTGGCATGACAGAAACTTCTCCACCCTCTCATATACATAGTTCCACAAGATTTCCTCAAAGATAAAGTCCATGATTTACCTTTTCTATTCATCAGAACGATCTCTCTACATCTTGCGTCTACACCATTTTCCCTCACAAAACTTCTTGGAAGATCCTGAAAAATTCATTACAATACAACATCATTTTTATACACTTCAGACCAGTTTGTTCAGTATGAAAGGTTTTTCTTTTGTTCAAATCTTGAGTTAGAATACCAGTTTGTCATAACGTAGTGTCGCAGGCGAGACTTTAGCCACAAAACAAGAGGGATCTAGTGAAAAAGACACTATTTCTCTTTCTTGATTCTTCTTCACTTTCTTCTTTCTCTGAATCTCCTCTAAAAAATAAAAGAAAATAAATTCAAGTGGTAATAGTCAAACTGATTCTCTCTACTTACTGATCCATACTTTATAATCAGCTTAAATTGCAATTTGAACATAATTACTTGAGCACATTTCTTGAATGTCTGAGAGTTAGAGAGAGAGGCAGTACACAACTCACCGAGGTTGTTCTCTTTTTCTTCTTCTTCTTCTTCTTCAGACTTTGTGGTGGACAAACGTAGAGCCAGAGTTCTTCCACCTCCGATCAGTTTTAGAGTGAAGAAATCTCCAGCCTTTAGTCCATTGGCACTACAGAAACTTCTCCACCCTCCTCTGATGTAAGTAGTTCCAGATTTCCTTTGCTTTAAAGCTAAACTCCCTGATGTACCCTTTTTATTCATCAGAACAATCTCTCCACGTCTTGTGTCTAAACCATTTGCCCTCGCAAAACTACTTGGAAGATTCTGGAAAATTCATTACAATACAACAAGATTTTCATCAAACTCAATATAAGAGAAAAGTTTGTGTTTCAAATTAAGAGTAGAATACCATTGCGTCATAACGTAGTGACGAAGGCGTGACGTTTGACGCAAAGCAAGATGAAGACTCTGTTTCTTTTCTTGGATTCTTCTTCACTTTCTTCTTCTTTGGGATCTTCCCTGAAAAAGAAACAGAAAAAAGCATAAATGTCACTGGCAAATACTCAAACTGAGTCTCTCTACTTCACATGCATGTTCCTAAACCAGCTTGAAATTACAGTTTATACTTTGTTAGAGCTCACCAAGCTTGTTCTCGTCGTCTAAACACGGCTCATACTGAATCTCACAGCAACTTGGTCCGAACAGTGTGACGTGGAAAGACATGCCTTTCTCTTGTCTGAAAATGACAATGTCACCGATTCGAAGATCGTGTGCGAGAGCGAACTCTTTCCAACCATCAGTGAGTCTCCGGCCATCTTCTATCTTCACTTCCCAGGTCATCTTCGACGCGTCTGACCTCAGCTTTGCCGTAGTCTTCTTCTGGTCATATCTTCCTTCTATATACTTTGAGAAGAAAGCTACAGGAATTGTCTGAAGCAACATGCAAACACAAAACCAAACCCATCTCTAAATTAGTTTAACAGAGAGACATAAACAGATATACAAGAAATGGAGAGAGAGGAGGATGGAGAAATTACCAAGTGGCTGTGAAAGCCAGGAAGAAGAGGCTGGAAGAAATGTTTATTTGCCATCTTCGAACTCTACACAGCAATTTCCTGGAGAGAAAAAAAAACTGATAAACTATCTTGAAGAAGACGTTCCAGTGTCCTTTAATATAGAGCTTCTTCTTGGTTTGGTTGGTTAAAGTCGAAAATTATTGTAGGGCTTTTCTTTTGCCTAATATTTAGTGTATGTTTGGTTCCTACACGTTACATGCTTTCTTTTTTAATTAACTTTTTTTTTGTATTTTTTTCTGTGAAACTTAAGTACCAGAGTTGTTTTTGTTAGATGTTGATTTTAACATTTGCAACTAAAAAAAAACAAACTACAACAGACAACTAGACCTTTTAAGCTAATCCAACCCTTGTTAGATCTCTTACACACACAAAGAAAAAGCCAAAACATTAGTTCATTTCAATTCGTCTAAGGCACTGAGACAACAAAAGCTAAAACATCATACTTAACATAACAAACTACAGTAAGACAACTGGACATTTTGAGTTGAGCTTACCATTGTTAAATCTTACACACACACAGAAAAAAAGCCAAACATATTGTTGACTAATTGCACTTACAAAAGCTAAAACATTACACTAGGATACAGATTCATTACGTCTCTTGCTTCACCTTAGAGCAGAATTTAAGGAAACAACTTGTGTCTCCTTCCCAAATCAGCTTGAACATGGCCGATTCACCTATCTTCACAGAGCTAGCTTTGAAGGTCTCTTTCCAGCCTCTTACCAATCTTAGCCTATCACCACTTTTCTCAGACCGCAGATCCGTAGGCCACTTCACACCGTTTTTATCCAACAAAGTCATTTTAGTTTCCCCATTGATGCCATGCATCCTCGTGAAATGTACCGGAAGAAACTGCAACAAAGATTAAAACAAACAGAAAGATTCAAGAACTCGATAGAATGTAAAAAGGCAAATGAGTAGTAGTGATGAAACTAACCAGTCTACACATTTTGAGGTTGCTAGGTGAAACAGTTAATGTCACAAATAGGCTTTGGGATGATGAAGATGGAGCTTTCCGTTTCTTGACACTTTTCTCATTTTGATTGCTCTCTTCTTCGCTGTCGGAATCTGTGGAAAGAGACTCTATGTCATCAGCTTCTGAGCACTCTTCTTCTTCGGACTCTGTCAAACGTAGAACCAGAGTTCTTCCCCTTTGGATCAGTTTGAAAGTGAAGAAACTTCCAGCTCTAAGTCCATTGTCACTACAGAAACTTCTCCACCCTCGTCTGATATACATTATTCCAGATGAATTCCTTCGTCTCAAATTTAAAGTCCATGATTTACCTTTTTCATTCATCAGAACAATCTCACCACATTTTGTGTCTAGACCATTTGCCCTCACAAAACTGCTTGGAAGATTCTGAAAAAAAAAAAAACATTACACAAAATACATCATGATTTTGATCTACAATTTAGACACTAAGAATGAGAGATTTTGGTTCAAATTAGGGAATAGATACCACTCTGTCATTTTGTAGGTTCCAAGGCGTGACATTAGCCACAAAACAAGAGGGATCTAGTGATGAAGACTCTGTTTCTCTTTCTGGATTCTTTTTCACTTTCTTTCTCTGAATCTCCTCTGGAAAAGAAGAAAATCAAATCAATTGGTACTAATCGAACTGATTCTCTCTACTTAATGATCAGCTAACATTACAGTTTAAGCATTGTTACTTGAGCACATTTCTAAATATCTGACCACCAAGAGTTAGAGAGAGACAGAACACAACTCACCGAGGTTGCCCTCCTCATCGCTTCCCGGTTCGGTGGAAAGAGACTCTACTTCATCACTCTCATCACTCTCTTCTTTTCCTTTGGTGGACAAACGTAGAACCAGAGTTGCTCCTCTTTTGATCAGTCTGAAAGTGAAGAAATCTCCAGCCTTTAGTCCATTGGCACTACAGAATCTTCTCCATCCTCGTCTGATGTAAGTAGATCCACACTGCCTTTGTTTTAAAGTTAAAGTCCATGATTTACCCTTTTCATTCATCAGAACAATCTCTCCACATCTTGCGTCTAGACCATTTGCTCTCACAAAATTGTTTGGAAGATACTGGAAAATTCATTACAATACAACATGACTTTGATCAAACACAGATCCTAGTATAAAAGACACGTTTATGGTTCAAACTAAGAGTATATTACCAGTGCGTCATTACTTAGTGCCGAAGGCAAGACATTTGACACAAAACAAGAGGGATCCAGTGAAGAAGACTCTGTTTCTTTTCTTGGATTATTCTTCACTTTCTTTGTCTTTGGAATCTTCCCTGAAAAAAAAAGAAACAAATAAATCTCATTGACAAATAGTCAAACTGAGTCTCTCTACTTCCACATGCATCTTCCAAAACCAGCTTGAAATTACAGTTTAAACTATGTTCAATATCAAGTCTCAGATTCAGAGAGAGAGAGAGACAAAACAAAGCTCACCAAGCTTGTTCTTGTCGTCTAAACACTGCTCATATTGAATATCACAGCAACTGGGTCCGAACGGTGTGACGTGAAAAGACATGTCTTTCTCTTGTCTGAAAATGACAATGTCACCAACTCGAAGATCGTGTGCGAGAGCGAACTCTTTCCAACCATCAGTGAGTCTTCGGCCATCTTCTACCTTCACTTTCCAGGTCATCTTCGATGCATCTGATCTCAGCTTCGCCATAGTCTTCTGGTCATTTCTTCCTTGCATATACTTTGAGAAGAAAGCTACAGGAATTGTCTGAAGCAACACGCAAGTACAAAACCAAACCCATCTCTAAATTAGTTTTACAGAGAGACATACACAGATATAGAAGACAAGGAGAGAGAGGAAAAGGGAGAAAGTACCAAGTGGCTGTGAAAGCCAGGAAGAAGAGGTTGGAAGAAATGTTTATTTGCCATCTTCAGAAGCTCCAAATCTCTCGAACCAGTGTGAAAATGTAATGTGATAAACCAGTGTGCTGTTTAACATGGATCTTAGTATTTATTTGTAGAGCTTCTTTTTGGCTGGTGAAAGACTTAAAGTCAAATAAGTGATTTTCAATACGGATCCTATTTATTGCAGAGCTTCTTCTTTTCCCCATATTTTGGTTCCTACACTGTACACGCTTTCTTTTCTAATCAATACTGTAACATCTTTTTCTGTATTTATTAGTCTCCGGAGAACGAGAACGAAACTTAAGTACTAGTTTCCCTGAAGTGAAAGATTCTCCTAACTTCACTCCTTTTAGCTTCACAAAAACCATATCAACCATTTCATTTCCCTTTTCACCAAAAATAATTATCTTCCCAAGTTCTGTTGAATTAACTTGGCAGTTTCATTACATTCAAGATTGGCAGTTTCATTACATTCAAGAGAAGACGGTAACTCAACTCTGAAACAAGATTGTTTATATGGGATCAAAAAAAACTTGCCAGATTATATGCTCTGACATCTCCAGGCGTCGCCGTTTTGGATTGCTGAGGACGAATCTCTGCGACGTCAGATTCATGAGGTCTCTTGCTTCACCTTAGAGCAGAACGTAAGGACACAGCTTGTCTCTCCTTCCCAAATCAGCTTGAACATGACCGATTCACCAATCTTCACACAGTGAGCCTTGAAGAACTCTTTCCAGCCTCTTGCCATTATTATTCTATTACCACTGTTCTCAGACCGCAGATCCGTAGACCACTTCACACCGTTTTTACCCAGTAGAGTCATTTTAGTTTCCTCATTGATTCCATGCATCCTCGTGAAGGGTATTGGAAGAAACTGCAATAAAGATTTTTTTTTGAAAAAGATTCAAGACTCGATAGAGTGTAAAAAGACAAATGGCTAACAGTAATATGAAACTAACCAGTCTAGACCTTTCGAGGTTGCTACGTGTAAGAGTTAAAGTCACAAATCGGTTTTGGTATGATGAAGATGAACCTTTCCACATTGATCTACGTTTCTCAACGCTTTTCTCATCTTGATTACTCTTTTCTTCTGACTCTGTGGAGGACAAACGTAGAACCAGAGTTCCTTCTCTTTGGATCAGTTTGAAAGTGAAGAATCTTCCAGCTTTAAGTCCATTATCTCTACAGAAACTTCTCCACCCTCGTGTGATGTACATAGTTCCACATGATCTCTTTATTTTCAAATTTAGCGTCCATGATCTACCATTTTCATTCATCAGAACAATCGCTCCACATCTTGTGTCTAGACCATTTTCCCTTGAAAATTTCTTTGGAAGATACTGAAAATTCATGATAATATAACATGATTTGATCAAATTCGTACCTTAGTAAACAAGTTTTATTTTATCATTCAAAATTAAGAGAAGAATACCAGTGTGTCATAACATAGGCTTGCACGCGAGATATTAGTCACAAAACAAGAGGCATCTAATGAAGAAGACTCTCTTTCACTTTTTAGATTCTTCTTCACTTTCTTCTTCCTCTGAATCTTCTCTGAAAAAGGAAGAAAGTGAAATCAACTCTGTTACTTAAATGTCCGAGAGTCAAGAGTTAAAAAGAGGCAGAACACAACTCACCGAGGTTACTCTCTTCATCGCTTTCCGGTTCTGTAGAAAGAGACTCTACCTCATTACCTTCTGATCTCTCTTCTTCGGGCTCTGACTCTGGGGAGGACAAACTAAGAATTGGAGTTCTTCCTCTTTGGATTAGTTTGAACGTGTAGAAACCTCCAGCTTTAAGCCCATTGGCATGACAAAAACTTCTCCACCCTCGTCTGATGTAAGTAGATCCATTTTGCTCTTGTTTCAAAAGTAAAGTCCATGATGTACCATGTTCATTCATCAGAACAATCTCTCCAAATCTTGGGTCTACGCCATTTGCCCTCACAAAACTCCTTGGGAGATTCTGAAAAATTCATTACAATACAACATATCAACATGATTTTTATATAATTCAGAGTTTTTATAAGAGTTTCTTCCTTTGTTCAAATCTTGAGTAGAATACCAGTTTGTCATGACGTAGGGTCGCAGGCGAGACTTTAGCCACAAAACAAGAGGGATCTAGTGATGAAGACTCTTTTTCTCTTTCTGGATTCTTCTTCACTTTCTTCTTTCTCTGAATCTCCTCTGGAAAAAGAAGAAAATCAATTGAATAATTAACTACTTAATGATCCATACTTCAAAATCAGCTAACATTAGAGTTTAAATATTGTTACTTGAGCACCATTCTTATATGTCTGAGAGTCTAGAGTTAGAGAGAGACAGAACAACACTCACCTAGGTTGCTCTCGTCATCGCTTTCCCGTTCTGTGGAAAGAGACTCTATTTCGTCACCTTCTGAGCTCTCTTCTTCTTCTTCTTCTTCTTCTTCTTCTTTGGACTCTGTGGTGGACAAACGTAGAGCCAGAGTTCTTCCACCTTGGATCAATTTGAGTTTGAAGGAATCTCCAGCCTTGAGTCCATTGGCACCACAAAGACTTCTCCACCCTCGTGGTATATACATCTTTCCAGATTTCTTTTTTTTTAGAGCTAAAGTCCATGATGTACCCTTTTCATTCATCAGAACAATCTTTCCACATCTTGTTCCTAGACCATTTGCCCTCACAAAACTCATTGGGAAATACTGAAAATTCATGACAATACAACATGATCTTGATCAAATTCAGATCCCTGTATAAGAGATGTTTGTGGTTCAAATAAAGAGTAGAGTACCAGTTCGTCATAACGTAGTGTGTAAGGCGCGACATTTGACACAAAACAAGAGGGATCTAGTGAAGAAGACTTTGTTACTTTTCTTGGAATCTTCTTCACTTTCTTCTTCTTTGGAATCTTCCCTGAAAAAAAAGAAAAGAATACATCTCACTGGCAAATACTCAAACCGAATCTCTCTACTTCCACATGCATGTTCCAAAACCAGCTTGAAATTACAGTTTCAAGTTTAATAAATGTCACTGAGATTCAGAGCCATGGGGAGAGTAAGGAAGAGACAGAACACAGGTTACCTAGGTTGATCTCGTCGTCTACACACGGCTCATATTGAATCTCACAGCAACTTGGTCCCATGAGTGTGACGTGGAAAGCCATGTCTTTCTCTTGTCTGAAAATGAGAATGTCCCCGACTCGAAGATCGTGTGCGAGAGCGAACTCTTTCCAACCATCAGTGAGTCTCTGGCCATCTTCTACCTTCACTTCCCATGTTATCTTCGACGCATCTGATCTCAGCTTTGCCGTCGTCTTCTTCTGGTCATTTGTTCCTTCTATATACTTTGAGAAGAAAGCTACAGGAATTGTCTGAAGCAACATGCAAATAAAAAACCAAACCCATCATCTCTAAATATACTTTCGCAGAGAGAAATAAACAGATATAGAAGAAAGGGAGAGAGAGAGGAGGTACCAAGTGGCTGTGGAAGCCAGGAAGAAGAGGCTTGAAGAAATGTTTATTCGCCATCTTCAGAAGCTCCAAATCTCTCCAACACTACATTGCAATTTCCTGGAGAGAACGAAGAAAGTGATAAGCCAACTTGAAGATGACGTTCCAGCGTCCTTCTTTTTGGTTGGCTAAAGACTAAAAGTCAAAAAAGTGTTTTATACTTTTTGGAGTACTAGTTATTGTAAAGCTTCTTCTTCTCCCTAGATTTAATGAAGGTTTGGTTCCTACACTGTACACGCTTTCTTTTCTACTAGTGTAGTAATTAACATTTCTGTATTTATTAGTCAGGCTCCCGAGAACGAAACAAAGTAGTATTATTTTCCTAACAAAGCATTCTTTTCTAGTGATGAAACTAATAAAGCTTTGTTTTTCTAATTAACATTTCTGTATTCATTAGCCTCGCAAAATTCATCCCAATGTTGCATCTCTTGACTATTTCATTCCGTTTTCAACCAACAAAGTTATCTTCCTAAGTATGTTGATGCCATTAGCCTTAATGAATTGACTAGGCAGTTTCATTACCAATCAGAACTCAAAACAGACACCAACTCAACTCTGAAGCAAGGTAGTGTCATGAACTTACCAGTTTACATGCTCTCCTCTCATCTCCATGTCTGAGTGCTAACGTCGCCGTTTTGGATTACCAGTTTACATGCTCTAGAATCTCTGCTCTACTCTATGGCTTCTCCACGCTTCTTCCTCTAATAGACTTGAAGAAGAAGTCTACAGGAATCATCTAAAACAGCAACAAGACAAAGAAAGATGAATCAGAAGGATCTCCACTGAATAAGCTGGTCTGAGAGAATTAGAAGGTAGAAGAAATGGTTACGAGGTGAGTGTGAAAGCCAGAAACAAGTGTGTGCAAAAATTGCGAGCGAAGAAGCTTTGATTCCGCCATTTTCGCCATTGTCGAAGAAAAACCTATGAATTTTCTCTCTACTCGCACCGGAGATTTTGGCACAGAAGGAAAAAGCAAAGGCAAAGGCATGTTTGAAACAGTGAGCAAGAAACTGTGAGGAATCAAAATAGAAACCATCACGGAGACATTTTACCATTGTTGCTGAAGAAGCTCCGATTTTATCTCTCTCTCTCTGATCAAATCGTACAACTGTTGAAGCTTCACTTCCCAATCTCCCGATGGATTAAATTGGGCCTGAGGGAAATAGATAATGGGCCTGTAGAATTAAAGGTCCAAAAGTTGTTGTCACATACTGTGGTTTTGAAATTTCAACCCCTCAAGTGTTTCTCAATCCATCCCTCCTCTTTGGTGGTTTTTGTGAGATGTTCATCATTTCTTGAAATTAATTTAACGTTTAAAAATCCAACAACATATTACACAATAGACAATTGGATATCTTGAGTTAAATCATAGGACCTGGAAATTTGCATTTTCACTATCTAGTATCATTCTGAAACTCACTCTTGCAATTTACTTGCTTAAAACTGATTGATATTGGATTTTGATTCTTGGTTTTGTGATTTGAGAGATGTTCTTTGTTTAGTATTTCAATTTCAATCACTGTCCGTATACCTGTTTTGTGATGGAGAAACATCTAATGAGTTACATACATCTTTTGAGTTGTTGTTTTGGATCAGATGTGTTATCCCATACCATAATCAAGCTTGCAGTGAAATTTACAAAAGGAATTTTTAAGACGAATGCCAATTTCATTAAAATCTACTGAATAACAAACAAAAATAGCAACGAGATGGATACATAAAACAAATTACAAACCCTAATTTTCGACTTCTAACACGGATTAACAAAATCATTACATTTGGAACAAAATCGTTACATCTAGGAAAAAAAAACCAAAACCTGAAACCCTAATTTTAAGCCTCCCTTAACTTCTCCAAAGCTTCACTCGGCTTGTTCGTTGATGGGTTTTGGGATTGGCGACAGAGTGGACAAGAGTCTCTGTCTCGATCCAACCACTTTACGAAACATCCCTCATGAAACAGATGCCCACAATCAGGCAATTCACAGAGATTCTCTGACTCGGACATATCCTCGAGACAAATCGCACAGCAATAATCCGATTCTGATTTCGCTGTCGAGGAAGAAGAAGGCATCACGATGTATTGTTTCTGGGTCAACTTGACCAACACCTTCACAAACAATGGTTCTTGTGCCAAGTCTTTCCGCTGCGCTTCGTCAACGATCTGATCAGTTATAAGCCGGGACAAGACGCGATCGTGGAATTGGCTATCGATACGTTGATGAACGTTGTCCGGTGCGAAGTTTTGGAGTCGGAGAAAGATTTGTTGGTCTTGAGAAGATGAACCTTTGTAAGAACCGAGACTCGAGATACGACCGTCATCACCCTCGTCTACCATAAACTCCTCGATTTCCCGAATTAGGGTTATAAACACGGTGCTTAATAACCCCAACGAAGGACCTTGAGGCGTCGCGCTTGCACTGACTTGGACCTTGATCGATTGAGTTTCCATTGTCGTTTGAAATCTGAGAATATAGAGCGTTTCTGTCGTAAGAGAGAGACTGTCGCGAAAGCAAAAAGTGAGAAGTGTGTTCGTTGAGCGATCTGTTGTTAGGTCTTTATAAGAAAAAGGGCGATAGGGTTATACGCGTAATTAAAATTGCTCTGTTTCCTTTTATTCTCTCAGGATATTTCCTTTTTCTTAAAATCATCTTCTAACGGTCATATTTAATTAATGTTTGATATGTTGTATTTCCTTTTTCTTTCTTTTTGGCAACGTATCTCAGGTTCATTGATTTCCTCTTTTTGTACCGGTTAGGATGTGCGTGACTCTGACCGGAAATTTAACCAAGTAATTTTTGTTAGTGTTTCTCGGTTTAACATGATTTATTGGTTTAATTATTCCACCATCCATACACAACAACACAAGTAAAACAAGCTGCAAAATTAATTATCTGCTATAATAAAAAAAAAATTAATTTCCTTCAGGTAAATTATTCAGAGTTGCTCCTCTTTTGATCAGTTTGAAAGTGAAGAAAGCCAAACATTGATTCATTTCACTTACAATATCTAAAACAACATACAGTAGTCGGATACAGCTTGTGTTTCACATGGTCTCTTGTTTCACCTTAGAGCAGAGCTTAAGGACACAGCTTGTGTCTCCTTCCCAAATCAGTTTGAACATGACCGATTCACCAATCTTCACACAATGAGCTTTGAAGAACTCTCTCCAGCCTCTTACCATTTTTATTCTTTTACCATTGCCATGGAGCTCATACCTCAGATCCGTAGACCACTTCACACCGTTTTCCCCCAGCAGAGTCATTTCAGTTTCCTCATTGATGCCATTCATCCTCGTGAAGGTCATCGGTAGATACTGCAACAAAGAACCAAACAGTGGATTCAAGAACTCGATAGAATGTAAAAAGACAATGGCTTGGTGATGAAACTGACCATTCGAGAGCTTTTGAAGTCCCAAGGTTTAAGAGTTAATGTCACAAATCGGTTCTGGGATGGTGAAGATGAAGCTCTCCATCTCGATCTACGCTTCTTGAAGCTTTTGTCATCTTGGTTGCTCTCTTCATCGCTTTCTGGTTCTGTGGAAAGAGACTCTACTTCATCACTCTCTGAGCTCTCTTCTTTTCCTTTGGTGGACAAACGTAGAACCAGAGTTGCTCCTCTTTTGATCAGTCTGAAAGTGAAGAAATCTCCAGCCTTAAGTCCATTGGCACTACAGAAACTTCTCCACCCTCGTCTCATGTAAGTCCTTCCACATTGCCTTTGTCTTAATGCTAAAGTCCGTGATGTACCCTTTTCATTCATCAGAACAATCTCTCCACATCTTGCGTCTAGACCATTTTCTCTCACAAACTTGCTTGGAAGATTCTGGAAAATTCATTACAATACAACATGATTTTGATCAAACACAGATCCTAATATAAGAGTCACGTTTGTGTTTTCAAATGAAGAGGCGAATACCATTGTGTCATAACGTAGTGTCGAAGGTAAGACATTTGACACGAAACAAGAGGGATCTAGTGAAGAAGACTCTGTTTTTTTCCTTAGATTCTTCTTCACTTTCTCCTTCGTTGGGATTTTCCCTGAAAAAAGGATCAGAATCAATCTCACTGGCAAATTTTCAAACTGAGTCTCTCTATTTTCACATGCATGTTACAAAATCAGCTTGAAGTTACCAGTTTAAACTTTGATAACTATCAGACTGAGTATCAGAGTAACGGGCAGAGTTAGAGAGAGACAAAACACAACTCACCGAGCTTGTTCCTGTCGTCTAAACACGGCTCATACTGAATTTCACAGCAACTGGGTCCAAACAGTGTCACGTGGAAAGCCATGTCATTCTCTTGTCTGAAAATGACAATGTCACCAATTCGAAGATCGTGCGCGAGAGCAAACTCTTTCCAACCATCAGTGAGTCTCCGGCCACCTTCTATCTTCACTTTCCAGGTTATCTGCGACGCGTCTGTTCTCAGCTTTGCTGTAGTCTTCTTCTGCTCATTTCTTCCTTGTATATACTTTGAGAAGAAAGCTACAGGAATCGTCTGAAGCAACATGCAAATACAAAACCACTTTCTCAATTAGCTTCTCAGAGAGTCAGAGAAAGATGTAGAAGAAAGGACAGAGAGAGAAAGTACCAAGTGACTGTGGAAGCCAGGAAGAAGAGGCTGGAAGAAATGTTTATTCGCCATTCTGGGAAACTTGAGAAGCTCTAAATTTCCTGGAGAAAAGAAAGTAAATAAACCAACTTGAAGACTACTACTGTTCATTGTCCTTGGAACACGTGAGCCTTAATAACCATTGATGACTATTTTTGGTTGGTTGAAGTCAGACAAAAGAAACCCAATTTATTATTTGGTTGGTTTCTAGTTTCTACACATTAATAACCATTGATGACTATGTAAGAAGATTGTTTGATGAACTTACCAGTTTACATGCTCTATCATCTCCAGGTCTGAGAGCTAACGTCGCCGTTTTGGATTGCTGAGGATGAATCTCTCTGCTTCTAGGTTCTGTGGAAGTTGGCTCTGTGCGAAACAAACTGAGCATTTGAGTTGTGTCTTCCAAGGTTGACTCCAAATTGAAATTTCTTGCGACCTTTATCTCAGTTCCTTGAGTGTTTCTTTATCCATCCCTCTTTGGTGAGATGTCAACATTTCTTGAAATCAGAGTAATCAGATGTTAATTAACATTCACAATTCCTACAACATACTACACAATCGACAATTAGACATTTGGAGTTAAGCTAACCATTGCTAAACATTGATTCATTCCAATTCGTCCTGGGAATTTACAAAATCAAAAAACATCATATACTCGGATATAGCAATCAAAGGGTCTCTTGTTTCATTAGGTCTCTTGCGTCACCTTAGAGCAGAACTTAAGGACACAACTTGCGTCTCCTTCCCAAATCAGTTCGAACCTGATCGATTCACCAATCTTCACACAGTGAGCTCTGAAGAACTCTATCCAGCCTCTTTTCATTCTTATTCTTTTACCATTGTCCTCAGACCGTAGCTCCGTAGACCACTTCGGTGACTTCACATCGTTTTTACCCAGCAGAGTCATTTTAGTTTTCTCATTGATGCCATGTATCCTCGTGAAGGCCCTTGGAAAATACTGCAACAAAGATTCAAACAGAGGATTCAGAATCGATAGACTGTAAAAAGACGATGGCTTGGTGATCAAACTGACCATTGAATAATTTTTTAAGCTCCCAGCTCTAAGAGTTAACGTCACAAATCGGTTTTCGGATGGTGATGAAGACGAAGCTGTCCATGACGATCTAGGCTTCGTGAAGTTTTTCTCATCTTGGTTGCTCTCTTCATCGCATTCTGGTTTTGTAGAAAGAGAGTCCATGTCATCACCTTCTGAGCTCTCTTCTTCTCCTCCTTCGGACTCTGTGGTGGACAAGCGAAGAACCGATCCAATTTCAAAATCAGTTTAAGCTTTCTTACTTGAGCACATTTCTTGAATATCTGAGAGGCAAGAGTTAGAGAGAGAGAGGCAGTTCACAACTCACCGAGGTTGTTCTCTTCATCGCTTTCTGGTTCTGTGGACAGAGAGTCCATTTCATCACCTTCTGAACTCTCTTCTTCTCCTTCGAACTCTGTAATGGACAAACGACAAACCGATCCATATTTCAAAATCAGTTTAAACTTTGTTACTTGACCACAAATGTCTGAGGGTCAAGAGTTAGAGAGAGAGAAAGAGAGAGAGAGAGAGGCAAAACACAACTCACCGAGGTTTTGCTCTTCATCACTTTCTGAGCTCTCTTTTTCTTCTTCTTCTTCTTCGGAAGAGAAGCATGTATTCCGAGAACAAAACTTAAGTACAGGAGTTGTTTTGTCTGGTTCATTAATGAATTCCAAAGTGAAAGTCTCTCCTAACTTCACGCCATTAGCCTCACAAAACTTATCCCAACCATTTTCCAAAGCGATGATTCCATCTCTTGCCAACAGATATGCAGAGAATTCCATCCCGTTTCTACCCAAAATAGTTATCTTCCCAAGTTTCTTAATGCCATTAGCCTTCATGAATTGACTTGGCAGATGCTGTGAAAATATTCAAACAAACGCATCTCATTACCAATAATAATGTAGTTCAAGACAGAAACAAAGCCAACCCTGAAACAAGATGGTTTGATGAACTTACCAATATACGGGCTCTGACATTTTCAAGTGTGAGTGTTAATATCACAAATCGGTTTAGTATTTCTGAGGATGAATCTCTGCTTCTAGCTTCTGTGGAAACTGACTCTTTCTCCTTAGCCTTTGAACTGCAAGACTTTGTATGGAACAGTGATTCTCTGCTTTTAGCTTCTGTGGGATCTGACTCTTTCTCCTTAGCTTTTGAACAGCTAGACTCTGTATGGAACAGTGAATCTCTGCTTCTAGGCTTTGTGGAAACCAACTCTTTCTCTTTAGCTTTTGAACTGCTAGACATTGTATGGAACAGTGAATCTCTGCTTCTAGGCTCTGTGGAAACTGAATCTTTCTCGTTAGCTTTTGAACTGCTAGACTTTGTTTGGAACAGTGAATCTCTGCTTCTAGCTTCTGTGGAAACTGACTCTTTCTCCTTAGCCTTTGAACTGCTAGACTTTGTATTAAACAATCTGAGCATACGAGTTCCGTCTTTCCATATCAACTCCATCGTAAAGGATTCGCCTGTCTTTAAGTCGTTTGCTTCAGCAAAATCTTTACAACCCTTTCCCAAACCCATTACTCCTTTCTTGTTCTGTACAAGGTTTGTCGGCCACTTTGTACCATCTCTACCCAACAGATATATCATTCCTGGCTTGTTAATGCTATTCTCTCTCACAAATTGCATTGGGAGAAGCTGTAAGGAGAATGAAAATAATACCCTCTAGTTATTTATTATGTGATAAAAGTATAAAACCAATAAAAGTACAAGAGAGAAAAACTAATTCTCTGAAACAAAAATTGTTTGAAAAACTGACCAGTCTACTCTTTGCGAAACTGGTAGGTGTAATTGTTAAAGTCACAAATTGTTTTTGGCTCGACGGAGTTGGATCTCTTCCTCTCAGATGATTCTTCTCTCTTCCCGACCTGGTCTCTTCTTTGCCATTGTCCTTTCTGTTGTTGTCATCTATGGGAAGACACTCTCCTCCTGCTTCTTTGTCTATGCTACATTCTGCTGGGCACAAGCTGAGAACAGGAGTTGTGCGTTCCCAAGTCAACTTGAACGTGAAGGGATCACCTAACTTTAAGTCATTTGCTTCAGCAAAAACTTTCCAGCCTTTGCCTAAAGTCATGCGTCGATTTCTTGATTCAAATAGCAAACTCGTCTGGTACTTTACACCGTCTTTACCCAACAAAGTAATCGTCCCAGGCTTGTTTATGTCATTTTCCCTAGTGAAACTCTTTGGAAGACGCTGTGGAAAATTTCAATCACAGACACAAAAATAATGTGTCAAAACCATTAAAGAGTACACTAAACTAACAACCCCTGAAAACAAGAGTTGTTTGATGAACTTACGAGTTTAGATGTTGAGAAACAGGAAGGTGTGATTGTTAATGTCACAAATTGCTTTTGGCTCGATGGAGTTGAATCTCCCCCGCTCAGATGATTCTTCCTTCTCTCCTCTTTGGTATTCTCATCTTTGCTGATCTTGTCTCTGTTGCTCTGATCTATGAAGCGTGACTGTTTCTTGATAGCTTTGAAATACTCTTCTTGCTCCATGTCATTGGTAGATTCTGCACAGCACAAACTAAGCACAGGAGTTGTGTCTTCCCATATCAACTTCAGTGTGAAGCCCGACTCTACGCCATTTGCTTTGACAAAATCCTTCCAACCCTGTCCGAAACTCATCGTTCCTCTCATGTTCATGAGAAGGTTTGTTGGCCACTTTGTACCATCTTTACCCAACAGAGATATCTCCCCAGGTTTGTTGATGCCATTCTCCCTCACGAATGGCCGTGGAAGATACTGGTAATATGTTGAACAGAGGAAGAATAAACATGCAGTCGAAACCAGTAAGGCAGTAAGGGCGTAACCAAGAGTTGTTTTTTTGATGAACTTACCAAATTTTGTATTCTGACATAATCAGGAGGAAGTGTAAAAGTTACGAATCGTTTATGACTTGGCAAATATGATGAATATGATTGAACTCTTCGCTTTGGACTACACTTCGTTTTTTCTATCTCCACCAATGACTCCATTGAGATGCACGCTTCTTCACCACTCTCCCCTTCTACGTTCTCTTCTTCGCTGCTAACTTCTGTGGAAAGAGATTCTCTCCGGCTAGCTTCTGAACACTCTCTTTGCCTTGTCTTATTATAAGTTTTTGTAGGGTCGAAGCTGAGCACAGGAGTTTCACCGTTTCCCACTAGTTTGAACATAAAGAAGCCTCCTGCTTCTTGACCGTTTTCTTCACAGAATCTTCTCCAGCCTCGGCTTATGTAAAAAGTATCAGATGATTTGTTGAACTTGAACCTCAGATCCAGCGCCCATGATCTTTCCCCTCCATCTATTAAAACAATCTTGCGGCATTTTCTTGTAAAACCACTTGAGCTTGTAACATGTTGTGGAAGATACTGCAAACACCAGATTAACACAAGAGTCAGATTAAATCTACTTAGGGGTTGCTTTGTATATGGTTCAGGCATTTTCCGCATTTCTACATGACTCTTTGTTTTGTTTCATGACTCTCCTCTTTCTTTAGTTACATGATTCTATAAGCATAAAAATAGGCAAACAGGGCAAATCTCGAACCAATCCAAATGAAAACAAACTAGAACCAAAATGAAATTTGCTTTTACTTCGGTAAGTTTTCTTCCACACCAAAGTAAACAAAGATGGATCAAATCCAACTTGAAGCTATACATAGAGTTACTTAAGACGTTTTATCAAACCGGACCAAGACCAAATCAGAAGTAACTTTCAACAAATTTCCTCCTAAACCGAGCAAGACTTAACACCTATTTAGTGAGTGATTAAACCACAATATGCAAAATTTGAGATTTTGGTAAAATGAAGGAGTAAAGTAAACACCAGTGTATCTGTGCGTAGGCTCGAAGGAGTGACAACGGCCACAAAACATGAGTTGTCTGATGAAGAAGAAGAAACTGCTTGTGCTTCTGGATTGTTCTTTTCATATGAGTTGTCTGATGAGGAAGCAGTTTCTGCTTCTGGACTGTTCTTCTTCACTTTCTTCTTTCTGGGAGGCTCTGTGTCAGAAACATAACATTCCCACATGTTACAACCTCAGATGCTTGAACTAATATAATATATAATCCCAAGTGAAGAAAAGTTTACCCATATCATCCTCATCATCACAACCATCTCCATCGTTTGGTGAAAAGTCTACTTGTGTTCTTGGATACAGACGCTTCTTCAACAAAGTTTTACCTGATTTTGGCAAATCAAAAACCTCAAATTTTGTTTTTCTTAGATGTTTAAAAATGGTGGATTCTACAAATGCAGAAGTCAGAAGCAAGACTTACCAACATCGAACTGACCATAAATGTCGTTTCTTGGAGGCGGGTTGTCTTGAATTTCACAGCAACTGGGCCCTAAATCCGAGACATGGAAGATCATATCTCCTTCATATCTGACGAGGAGGACGTCGCCGGTTTGAAAGTTATAAGCGACGGCGAACTCTTCCCAGCCTTCACTGAGTCTCCGACCAGTCATCTTCACTTTCCAGGTTACCTCCGACGAGTCAGACTTCAGCTCCGCCGTCGTCTTCCCCAGGGTCTTTCCTTCGATATACTTGGAGAAGAATTCTAAAGGAATCATCTTCAACAACAAAAACAACACAACGAAATGAGATGAATATCTGTGGATAAAAGCTGTTCGGAGAAAGAGAGAGAAGGAGACGTAGTTACGAGGTGAGTGTGAAAGCCATGAACAAGTGTGTGGAAGAATTGAGGGTGAAGAAGCGTTGATTTCGCCATTGTCAAAGCACTTGAAGAGAATGACCAAAAAGAGAATTTAAAAACACTAGAAATTCTCTGTAAGTAGAGGGAGAATCATAACGGATTTTGACAGTGGCACAAGTTGGTAAATAGAGGGAAATGTGTAGGGTATGGTTGGGTCTAAGAAAATTCGAGTTTGAAGAGGAAAAGAAAACGGGGGAAAAGTGAAGATGAATCAGAATGAAAAATGAAAATCAGAACTGAAACCAACAGAGAGAGAGACACATCTTCTATTTGCCTCGCTCACTCATACCAATTTGTAGAAGCTTCTAGTAATTATATTGGGCCTTAGAGAAATTAGAGGATGGGCTATATTTGAGCCTGTAACAGTTGATGTCATCATTTCAAATAGTTGGGCTAGAAGTATATTTAGGAGTACTAGTAGCATAATTTCAATTTGTTTAGTTTAAAAAAAATATTGATATCTACTAAATTCGGTCCATCGAATAACCTAACAAAAACTTAGGAGAAATTAAAAAAAAAAGTTCATGTGTATTTTTGTATATATTTTCTAAAATCTAAATCTTAGTTTGTGTAGTGTGTTTAATGTTTTAGAAATGACCAAGGAAAAAGAAAAAAACTAGGATCGGTTCATTGATACCAAACCGAACCGAGTGCCGTGAAGTCGAAACAAAACCGAATTGGCTAAATGAGTAATCAAAACATTTTACAGTATTTCAGCCGCAATGTGGCCTTTTGGACTTTCAGTAAACTGCTCTCTGCCTTAATCAAAGAACTTAAATAATTAAGTGATATTTATTGAAGGATTGGTATCTAATTATCATTTTTTTGTAATTAGTCTACAGAGAACAGAACTTAGGTACAGTAACTGTGTCTTGTTTACAAATGAACTCTAGAGTGAAACAATCTCCTGACTTCACACCATTAGCTTCACAAAAACCATCCCAGCCATATTCTAAAGCAACAATTCCATCTCTTGTCAATAGAAATCCCCACCACTCCGTTTTGTTTTCACCCAAAATAGTCATCTTCCCAAGTTTGTTGATTCCATTAGCCTCCATGAATTGACTCGGAAGATACTGCAAAAATCATTAGAAACAAATACATTTAGAACGTCACCAAATTAGAATCCAAACACACAAACTATAATTCAACTCAAACACACAAGAATCGTTCGACGAACTTATACCAGTATACATGCTCTGACATCTTCATGTGTAAGTGCTAACGTCACAAACCGTTCTTGCATTACTGAAGGTGAATCTCTACTTTTAGGTTCTGTTTCTTCCGTGGAAACCGACTCTTTCTTGTTAGCTTTTGAACTGTTAGACTCTGTACTTTTACGAGCTTCATCTTCCAAGATTGGCTCCAATGTAGACTGTTTCTTGATAGTTCTTGAAACCTCTTCTTCCTCTTCTCTATCAGATTCTTTAGAACACAAACTAAACACAGGAGTTGTGCCTTGCCATGTAAGCTTGACCGTGAAGCTCCTCTCTAAGCCGTTGTCTTTGACAAATTCTTTCCAGCCTTTTCCCAATCTCATTGTTCCTTTCTTGTCAAGTAAGAGACTTGTTGGCCACTTTACACCGTTTTTACCCAACAGATACATCTCTCCAGGCTTGTTGATGCCATTATCTCTCAAGAATGGCTTTAGAAGAGTCTGTAGAGATATATGACAGAGGATTAATAAACAGTCAAAAACCAATAAGAACAGAGAGTCTCAAGAGTTGTTTTTGTGTGCGGATGAACTTACCAGTTTACGAATTGTGACATAATTAAGTGGAAGTGTGAATGTTAAGAGTCGCTTATGAGTTGGTGAATATGATGAATAGAACAAAGCTTTTGGTGTCTTCATCGATGATGACTCGTCTTCATTCCTCTCCGGTTCTGTTTCATGACTATTCCTCTTCAGTTTCTTCTTTATAGGAAGCTCTGTAATCAGAAACGTCACACAACGTTACAGCTTTCATAAATATTTGGAGTCATTTATAATATAATACAATAGTAAGTAAAATTACCTTCATCATATGTTCTTGATCTCGCCATTGTCGAAGCACTTTACAAGAGAATAACAAAATCAAAAACAACAGAAATAACCCTAGAAATTTTCCATGTAACGAATATATAATACTGTATACTGAAAAAGATATTTCCTTTTTTTTTCGGGGCAGAGAAAATAACGGATTTTGGCGGTTGTACAAATATGGAAATTTACGGAAAGGAAATGTTTCTCTGATTAACAAAATCTGGGCAAAATTGAAAAACAAAATCAAAATCAAAACTGAAATCAAAAGACACGTATCTTCTCTGTCCTGATCAAAATTTTTAGAAGCTTGACTTCCCTAATCCCAACAGATTAACAGATGGGCCTGGTGAAAATAACAGATGGGCTAGATCCGGGCCTGTTTATTTCTCAAAAGCGCACAAAAGTCAAAACTCACCATTACTAACGTTGACTTGAATGAAGTGATCCTAAGAAAATTACGTAAACAAAAAAAAAGGCTTATAACTATTTCACTACCAATAATTACATCAACTTATTTCACCAAAAACTTGCAGAACCTGTCGTGTAGTTAACATTAGTGTACTTGGCCACCGAAGTTAGAGTAAAACTTGAAGACATGATTTGTGTCTTCTTCTCCAGGAACGAATTCCAAAACGAAAGACTCTCCTAACATCACACCATTAGCTTCACAAAAGCCTTTCCAACCATTTCCCAAAGCAACAGTTCCATCTTTTGACAGTAAATACGCAAACCACTTCATACCGCTTCGACCCAACAGAGTCACCTTTCCTGGCTTGATGATGCCATTAGTCCTCATGAATTGACTCGGAAGATGCTGTGAGATAAATGAATCAAAGACATCTCATTTACCAAATTAGGATTCAAGACAGAAACTAAACCATCTCTAAAGCAAGAGCTTACCAGTTCACAGTATCTGACATCTTCAGGTGTAAGTGTTAATATCAAGAATCGGTTTTGGATTGCTGAAGATGAATCTCTTCTTCTCTCCAAATCCTCTGAGCTACTCTCTTCTCTGTTGTTCTCTGCTTTCCTGGTCTTGTTCCCGCTGCTACGTCCTGTGGAAAGAGACTGTTTCGAAAACTCGCTTTGCTCTCTACCATTGCTAGACTCTACACGGAGCAAACTGAGCACAGGAGTTGCGTCTTCCCATGTTGACTCCAGCGTGATGGAATCGCCAGTCTTTAAGCCGTTTGCTTTAGCAAAATCTTTCCATCCTTTTCCCAAACTCATTCTTCCTCTTCTTTCCAGTAGAAGACTTACCAGCCACTTTGCACCGTCTTTACCCAACAGAGTTATCTCTCCAGGCTTGTTCATGCCATTCTCTTCCATGAATGGCAATGGAAGACGCTGCAACAGATATGAATAGAGAATTAAACCATGCCATTACAAGAGTTGATTAATGACTCTGGTCAATGAACTCACCAGTCTACCATGCTTGAGACTGTCAGGTGTGATAGTTAATGTCAGAAATCGGTTTTGGCTCGGTGGAGTTGAATTTCTCCATATCAGATGATTCTGCTCACTCTCCCATGAGCTCATCTCCTCTTTGCTGTTCTCATCTTCGTTATTATTATACATGGTGACCTCTTTCTCGCTTGCTTCTGAACATCTTCCTTCTTCTATACTGTCAATGCTATACTCTGCAGGGCACAAACTGAGAACAGGAGTTGTGTCTTCCCAATTCAACTTGAGTGCGAAGGATTCACCCGTCTTTAAGCCGTTTGCTTTAACAAAACTCTTCCAGCCGTCTCCCAGAGTCATTCTTCCTCGGCTTTCCAGGAGAAGATTTGCTAACCACTTTGAACCATCTTTGCCCAACAGATATATCTTGCCAGGCTTGTTTATCCCATTCTCCCTCGTGAATTGCATTGGAAGACGCTGTAGAGATTTGAACAAGCATCAAAACTAAGATTAGAGGAAAACTAAGCCTATGAATCAGAAGTTGTTGTGACGATTCTTACCAGTCTACAATTTCTGACATCAACAGGTGCAAGTGTAAATGTTGCTAACTGTTTCTCGCTTGACGAAGTTATCTGCGTCGGACTATACTTCGTGCGCCATTTTGTTTTCAAACCATCTGAGCTTGTGAAAGCTTGTGCAAGATGCTGCATATACCAGCATATTAACACAAGTGTCAGAGCAAATGACTCAAGACTGGTCAAGGAAAGGGTCATAAGATATAAAGATCATGATGATAATTCTAAGGGGAAAAATAAACCCAATGAAACCAAACTATATCAATCAACCAAACAGCAACAAAATGCAAAAATGATTTTACAGCAGCAAATTTACTCCCAAACCAGAGTTAACTAAACTGACAAAATGCATATAGTTGCATAAGATGTTACAATCAAAGAAAAGCAAATAAATCGTTGTTGTTTTAGTATCTTCAAACTGAAACAGTTCACTTAGGAGATATGCACATCAACTGGACAAAAAAGGTTCAGGCAATATAAGTATCTCCTCATGTGACCAAGCTGCAAAACACTTTGTCCAATTTAATGACTGACCAAAACCAAAATTCCTACCCCAGAAACAACAGTTCAGTTAGCTAATGAGTCTGCACAAACTTTTAGCATGGGGTTTCAGTTCATGAAGGAGTAAAGTAAACTGAATTATATAATCACCAGTGCATCTGTGTGTAGACTCGAATATGTGACATGAGAAACAAAACAAGAGTGGTCTGATGAGGAATTTGCTTCTGTTCCTTGGTTGTTCTTCTTCACTTTCTTCTTTCTTGGAAGCTCTGTATCAGGAAGCAAGTAATCTTAGAATCATCACGATATAGTACTACAATAAAATAGAAGATAACTGAATATACCAATGTTATACTGATCATCATCACCATCATATGATGAAAAGCCTGCTTCTTTTCTTAAGTGCGGATGCCTTTTTATCGAATTGCTACCTGTATCATTAAAAAAAACCCCTAAAATTGTTTTCCATTCACAGTCTCGTCTCGCAGAAAAAAGCTTCAATTTGCAGTTTTTTCCTTACGTTACATCTTTAAATCGTATCTTATAATCAAATGATATCAAAATTTGATAACAACCATCTAGATTAACTCCAATTCGAAGGATATTTAATCAGTCTTACCGATGTTTTTTTGATCATTGTTGCTCCTTGGAGCTACTACGTCTCGAATCTCGCAGCAGCTAGGTTGTCCTAAATCAGAGACCTGGAACATCATATCTCCTTCATTTCTGAAAATGACGATTTCACCAATTCGAAGATCATGAGAAACTCGGCGAACTATTTCAGGTGAAAGTGTTGATGTCGCAAATTGGTTTTGGACTGCTAAAGATGAATCTGGCTTTCTAAGCGGTTTCTTTCTGCTCTCTTCTCTGTTACGCTCTGCTTTCCTGGTCTTGTTTTCACTGCTAGGTTCTGTCAAAATAGACTCTTTCTCGCTTGCTTTTGAGTGCTCACTGCTAGGCTCTACACGGAGCAAACTGAGCACAGGAGATTCGGCTTCCCATATTGACTCCAACGTGATGGAATCGCCCGTGTTTAAGCCGTTTGCTTTAGCAAAATCTTTCCATCCTTTTCCCAAACTCATTCTTCCTCTTCTTTCCAGTAGAAGACTTACGAGCCACTTTGCACCGTCTTTACCCAACAGCGTTATCTCTCCAGGCTTGTTCATGCTATTCACCTCCATGAATTGCAATGGAAGACGCTAGAAAACATATGAACAGAAAATCTAAAATTTTGTTACGCAATAACATAAACAAGAGTTGATTGATGAACTCACCAGTCTACCATGTTTGAGACTATCAGGTGTAATTGTTAATATCAGGAATCGGTTTAGGCTGGATGAAGTTGAATCTCTCCATCTCAGATGATTCTTCTCTCTCTCCCATGAGCTTCTCTCCTCGTTGCTGTTTTCATTTACGTTTTCTTCTTTCCTGTTACCATCTTTCTCACTTGCTTCTGAACACTCTCCTCCCGCTCTTCTGTCAATGCTATACTCTGCAGGACACAAACCGAGCACAGGAGTTGTGTCTTCCCAACTCAACTCAAGTGTGTAGGATTCACCGATCCTTAAGCCGTTTGCTTTAACAAACGATTTCCAACCGTCTCCCAAAGTCATTCTTCCTCTACTTTCCAGGAGAAGGTTTGCGAGCCACTTTGAACCATCATTCCCCAACAGATATATCTTTCCAGGCTTCTTTATCCCATTCTCCCTAGTGAATTGCATTGGAAGACGCTGTAGAGGTTTGAAACCAATAAGAGTATAATAGAGAAAACTAACACTCTGAATCAACAGTTGGTATGAGGATCTTACCAGTCTACAATGTCTGACATCGACAGGTGCAAGTGTAAATGTTACGAATCGTTTCTCTGACGAATATGATGATATTATCCGTCCCGGGCTATACTTCCTGTGACATTTTTTTTTAATAGCATCCGAGCTTGTGGAGGCTTGTGGAAGAAACTGCGAACACTTGATGAACACAAGTGTCAGATGAAGTGGTGAAAGAAAGGGTCATTAATCATAAGCATTTCCTTCTCATGAGACGTTACGTATCAGTTCGATGATTGGTTAGCTTATGATTCTATATGAAAAAACAAGTCTAAGACTCGGAAAATATACCAAATCACATCAAACAAAACTAAAATGAAATAAGGATTAACTTCAGCAAATTTTCTCCGAAACCAACGTTAACCAAACTGAACTAAACTACAAAACACATATTGCTACTACGTAAGTGTTACAGTCAACGAAAACCAAAACCAAATCGTTGTTGATTGAACCTTTATATTCAAAACTAAACTTGTTACCAAAACCGACATGTCCATCCCTAGAAACAACAGTTCACTCACTTGGACAAAAAAAAGGTTCAGGCCTTTTTTTCTCAAGAGCCCAAAGCTAACCACTTTGTCTAGTTTCATGACTGACCAAAACCGAAATGCCTACCACTAGAAACAACAGTTCAACTTTTAGGTGATAAATATGCAAAAACCTCAGCATGAGAACTCAGTTAATGCAAGAGAAAAAGTGAGCTCGAATACATACGCACCAGTGCATCTGTATATAGACCCGAAGCTGTGACTTGGGATGAAGAATCTACTTCTGTTTCTGGATTGTCCTTCTTCACTTTCTTCTTTCTCGGAAGCTCTGCATCAGTAAAAACCCCAACATGTTAAAACCTCAGATGCTTTCTTCTTTCATTCTGTAGAAGTTCTTGAAACAATCTCCCCGAAAGCAAATAATCTCAAACTCATGTACATAGAACAGAAAACAACTTAACATACCAATGTTGTCCTGATCATCACCTGATTCTTGTCTTAAATGTTTCTTCATCCAAATGTTATCTGACTTAGAAAGAAAAAGAAAAATCCATCAAATTGCTTTCTAATTAAAGCTTCAATTTTGCAGTTCTTTACTTGATTTCAAAGTTTGAACTATAGCATCCCTCTAGATGAAATAAAATCGATCTTACCCTGATCATTGTTGCTGCTTGGAGCCGCTACGTCTCCAATCTCACAGCAACTGGGTCGTAAATCAGAGACCTGGACCATCATGTTTGAAAAACGCCGAATCGAAGATCATGAGCGACGCAGAGCTCAATTTTCAGCCGCCAGTGATTTCAGATAAATGGGTGTGGTGTGGCTTAAATCAACACAATTTTTCTTCGTACTAGCCAAAGATTTGTTTTTTTTCTGTTCAGAGAATCAGCGTATTCGCCAATACTAAAGGTTGAATTTTTGGGACGGACGATGAACAGTCAATGACTTGCATTTCTTTTTTTTTTTTGTTTTTAAACGTTTTTAACAAATAACAAAAAAATATATTTTTAAGTTAATAAGATAATAAAATGCTTACAAAAAAAAAGGATAAAGAGGTGGATGGCAAATGATGGAGTTTTTATTAGGAAATCAACAAGATGTTTATGAGCTAGAACAAAATGGTAAAAGGATGCCGAAAAAAAAAAAATTGTTTCTTAATATTATGCCGTTTGCCATGTACCGCACGTGGTTATGTGGAGCTAGAATAATATGTTATGAATAACTGAGTTTAACAGCGAGAGGAGTTGGCGATAACAGATACGCTTCTTGTAGCATTAAATGGGGAGACAACATAATCTATAAGCCGCCTGACGTATGCATAAGATAGGCTGAGGGGATGGATAGTTATTGCAATTTACTAATGTTGGAACAAGATTTTTGTAGTGAGTAGGCGGGAAAGTGAAAATATCTGCGTACACCTAGGTATGTAGAGTCTCCATAAATAGTGGTTTCCTCCCTCTTTCATGTAGCGCTACAACCGGTTGGAGCAGGTACACGTATATTCTGGTACAGTCATTTCGTTTATGAATATCTATGACTAATATTGAAGTGATTCTGTTATTAATAACCACAACTATGTGAACCAGATATCATAATGATGCAACTTTGGGAAGTCCTCAGCGATCTAGTCCGGGCAGAACAGGGGTGGTGAATGAAAGATGCGGGAGGTGTGGCGATTTGTGTTGCTGGATGGATATAAACTTGGTGCGGGCCAGATATAAACTTGTAACGGATTATTTGAAAATGATGGAGATTTGTAATGATATAAGTGTATTGTAGACGTCTATTAACATTAATGGAGTGCTATATTCGTCTCTCAAAAAGTTATGTTGTTCCATAGATTGTTATATTTATTATATTTATTATATTCAACAGATCGCATGCCCTTAAATTATATTATAGTGTGATATTTTCTTTCATAGATTTTATATTGCTCCTATAACTATAATATATGTTAGTATATGAGGCTATATAGCTGTCTATTAATATTAGTGAAGTGTTATTAAATATGATGGACGATTATCTGAATGGCTGCTAAAAGAACATTACATTGAAGAGTAAAAAAAGTTAAAGACATCTAATGTATTTAATGGACGGATTTTCTCAGGATTGGATCAAACATAGAATGTCATATTGGATGTGGCATATAAAGGAGATGAACTGTATTTGGGGCGTGTTTTCAAGAACAAACAAGACTGCAAGGTGAAGATAGCATCTCCATGTGATCCACCTTGGGGTCATCTACTTCATCGGCCCATGTGAAGGCACTTTGGGGGGTTCCATCGAATTTGCCTTTGATTATTGAAGTCACGGCCACCTACAAAAAGACACCCGCATACTGATTTATAAGGCCACACACTCAAACTTAGACATCTATATATTCGGGTATCTGATTACATTGTTGGAGATCCATAACATAAGATACAGGGCTACCCGGGTTAGTAGTAAAATTACCTGTCTGGAAGAGTCGAAATCCCAAAGCTTATCTAGCTAACCATCAGAGCGAATGTGCATATATGCATGTGAAGATCTGGTTTGGAGATCTAAGATTTTGTTTGAATTATTGAAGATCTGGTTTCAAGACCTAATATTTTGACACTAAGGTGATATTTATGGGAAAATCTAAAATTAAAAAACAATCCAAATGGGGAATCACTTCCCACTATCGATTGAAACAATGGCAAATCACCCGAACAAGATTTGGCTCCGAAGAGAAAATGAAAACAGAAATCGGAAGAGTAATCCCATCAGAACACCCAAATAAAACCCAAAACACCGTAAAAGGTTAGTACTATATGTGATAAAGGAAATGGCGAACCATGATGCTCCGGTGGGTGTGGCGGTTGAGTTTACCTGAATAATCAACTGTCGGCGGGGGGATTGCTAGCTTCTTCCGGTTATGGCCGATAATCGCCACAAAACTCTGTTTCGTCGCCCTGTCTCTATTTTGTTTTGGGAGTATCAGAAGAGAGGGTAATCGAAGCGGCTATGTGGCTGTATAGGGTTCCGTGAGAGCAAGAAGGGTGTTATAAATATGCCGGCTATGCTCAAAAAATAAGTTACAATATTTGTAAATAAAGTTGAAACTAAACAGTTATTGGTCTCCAAACCCCATCGTTCGATTTTGGGTGTACACGTAATATCGGATTTAATGGAAAAAATGAATAAATTAATTCATCGGGAAAAAAAGAGGAACCGCGAGTGAGGGTAAAAAAGGAATAAAGAGGAGCAAATTAGTTTAATGCTTAAACGCATAAATGGCATATGTCGATCCGTTAATTAACAACCGGTCTTTTGCTATTTTGTGCTATTTCCCAAAAAAATTAAATTTCTGTAACTAATTTATATTTATTTTCATTATGAACTTTAACGGAAAAAAAGAAACTGAGAAAAAATGAAAAAATAAAAAATTGGAGCTCTTAATAACTCTCGAAAAAACAAAACAAGATTAGTTGTTTTTTCCTTATGGGAAAAAATAGTCCTAGACGTTCAGATTTCGATTCAAGTTTTTATTGGGTGTTTTGGATTATCGGAATTTCAGATTTGGCCTACGAAGATCTATTTAAATTTTATCATAATTCGGGTTGGAATCAGTTCGGAACTACTTGGATTCGGATCGGTTTGGATTAATAATAAACAATCTATTTTAAACCAAATATATAACCGGTCTAGATCGGATCAGTTTTTTTTTTTATCCGAAGTAACTGTTTTAGAACCGAACTACTCAAACAACCCACTTAATCAACACTGAAACATAAAAGAAAAACTTAGATATTGATTGTTAGAAATGGGTTTAGCACCCTTCATAAAAGCCCTTTATAAATTTAAAAAGACCTATTTAAAACCCTAATTCTGCCTCTGGAATTCGGCCGGTTCAATTAAATGGAAATATCCCAAGATTTACTCGAATTTTCGAAGAAAAGGGAAGTGGATACCGAGAAGAATGAAAACTATGCAGATCCTGGAAAGGAAGGAACCAAGTGCTTGACATTAAAAACATCGGCAGTCTTCATATGAGGTGGAAGTTGGAGACGGTATGCATTGTTATTGATCTTCTCAATGATGGCAAGAGGACCAATCTTGTGAGGTTTAAGTTTATTGTAAGTGCCCGGTGGAAAGCGATATTTAGTAAGAACGGCCCATACCTTGTCTCCCACCTGAAATTGTAGTTCACGGCGATGCACATCAACTTTCGCTCACAACTTCGGACTTGAGACCTAGGGCAATATACAACTTTCTGCTTTCAGCTTTAGATCTCAGTTCATTCTCTTTAATTTAGGTCTGCGTTCTTTTCCGGCGACCTAAATCTCTTGTACTCTTCGAGCTCCAGCTGAAATTAATAAAAAAACTTTATCTTTTACCCCCACAATCTCTTTATTTTCTTTAAGGGACATATTGAGATCTTACATTGATCTTAAATTCATTAAAACAATAACAACAAAGCTTAAACTCATAAGTTCAAACAAAATAACACCAACCAAGCCGAGATCAAAGTTCAAACTCAAGCAAAATAACACCAACCAAACCGAGATCAAAGTTCAAATCCAACCGAGAAAATTCCAAGACATAAACTTTGACATATTAGGTGATATGTAATACATATATTAAGAGGATAGTAAATGTAATCAATTATCTTCGGGTCTTTGTGCAGATTTTGGTTTAAAACCAAACCAACCCGTAATCCGAAACAATATGACGATAAGTTTGATTCGGGTTTTTAACCAGATCTGTAATCGGTCCGAACCCGCTTCTTCGGTTCGAGTTCGAGTTTGGACTTCGAGTTCAGTTCAAAACGCCCAGGACTGGAAAGAAAAAAGTAAAACTAGAGTTCTTTTGGAGTTGTCGACTCAAATGCCATTATTTTAATTGTATGTGCCATATAATGTTATTACTTTATTTAAATGAAATATATAATTCTTAGTGAATGTAACTGAAAATAAGTAAAAATAAATTAAAAATTAGTAAAAATAAAATTATCAAAAATAATAATAAAAAATTGATATATCATCCTTCCGCGTTCTCTTCCTTTTACCACATGAACTCTCTTCTGTTAAGCTCTTTCCATCGACATCCTCTTCGACTGACCCCTATTCTGACTCTTTCTCCTCTTCTGCAATTACTTTCCGCTCTCCTCATCTGCCATTGTTGAAAATCCTATTTTTAAGATTAGTTATTCTTCTTTAATTATAGATATTTTGTAAAATTAGGGATTTGGATTTAAAAAATTAGGAATCTAGGTTGGTAACTATATATTTTAGAAGATTAATCCTTAGGTTCGATAATTTGTGAGAAGAATGTGGTTATGTTAATCAGATTCATATGTAGAACCCGAGCTCTAATTCACCCAATATGCAATTATAGGACAACTGGTACAAATGGTACAATTGAGAGTTGGAGTACAAGTGGTACGAAATGGTACAACTAAGAGATTGAGTTCAACTGGTACAACTAAAAACTTAAGTTCAACTGGTACAACTAAGAGATTTAGTTCAACTGGTACAACTGAGAGAATGAGTTCAACCTGTACAATTATGGTACTTTGTGTAATTACCGTTTGATTATTTTCATTATATTTTCAAGAGAGCATGAACATCAACCACACAAACATATATTTTGACTATGGAGGGAGTTATTCACATCATATAGAGGAGTTGAACTGGTTTACAAGAAATTCCACTTATGATATACCGTTTATGACCTTATCTTTGGAAGAGATAACTTACTAGGTGTTAGTAGATAAGATATGCAGGAAGATTGTGATAGATAGAGCTAACGCACAACTGAAATTGAGTTACATTCCGTTGGTAAATAAAGCTCTGAGAGAGTCAAAGATTTTTGTTGATGATGACATATATGTTTATCTAACAACGGTGGATAAAGAGGGGCTTAGGTATGTCTTGCATGTGGAGGTAGTCAAAAATTTGGAAACAAATCAGA